ATGACTAAGATAAAAGTGATCAAGTCTTCTGTATAATCAGGGAACTGATGAGTCAATGGGAAACATGCAAAGCACTAATTAATGAGGTAGAATGAAGTAAGTCCTATGAGTTAGCTATTTTGGGGGGGGGCAGTGTAAGAAGCAGGAATAATGGGTATATGCTATTGAGCTCCTTCTTAGTAGGCACTCTGGTATTTATACTGAAAAAGTAGGTTAGGGAAGTGGCATTCGCACTGCATCCTAGCAGATAAGTAGGAAAGACTAGAGGGGAGTTCTTATCAGTCATAGAAAGGTTTGAATTTTACTAATATTGTAACTATACTAACTTTGGATTCTGTGATGCAGTAGAATCTATATAAAAATAAAAAACTTAAGATGGTGGTTGATGTAAATTTGCTTTCTTCTATAGAGATAAGCATGTCATAAAGGGCAGCCCACAGGCAGAATCCAGCCAGCACACATATTTTATATAGTGCTGTTTTAAAACTGAAAATTTTTATCTCCCCCACCCCCCCAAAAATAGTCTGTACTTCTGATTTATGATTATTATAAAGTAGTAGAGGCCTGATGCACAAAATTCATGCACAGAGGCAGGAGGTATGTGTCCCTCAGCTCAGGGGCACCCTCTCCAATCTGGGACTGCTGGCTCCCAACCACTTGCCTGCCTGCCTCCCTGATTGCCCCTAACTGCTTCTGCCTGCCAGCCTGATCACCTCCTACCCACTCCCTTGCCAGCCTGATTAATGTCTGCTTCCCTGCCAGCCCGATTGCCCCTAACTGCCCTCCCCGGCCAGCCTGGTCATCTCTAATTGCCCTCCCCTGCAGGGTTGATTGCCTTCAACTGCCCTCCCCTTGCTGGTCTGGTCCCCCCCCCCCACAACTGCCCTCCCCTGCTTGCCTGGTCTCCTCCAACTATCCTCCCCTGCCATCCATCTTGTGTTCAAATGATGGTCAATTTGCATATTACCTCTTTATTATATAGGAGAATAGGAACCCTAGATCTCCCTTCCAAATGGCAGTCAGTTGGAGAGGTGTGGCAACAACCCTTCTATAGATGGAAACATTCTCTTCCATTCATCCCATCCCTCAACTGTGTTTCATCCAAACTTGGGGACCCAAGATTTTGGTTGTGACAAGAATGAGCTTTTAATAAATTAGTGCTGTGAACTAGAAAGTGATTTTTGAAAGAAAAAAAAAACCAAAACCTATACATATCCAGCTCCTATCTGTGCAGAATGGTGTAAATAGCTTATGCAGTTTCTCACAAGAAACCCCTGAAAGAAAATATAGACAGGGCAAGTGTTCTTAGAGATACATATTTATTCACTTCTGTCAAAGTTTGGTCACTTTTTGCATAGAGGTATAATGCTTAATAGGTAGAATGTAAATATATTTTTTAAAGAATTGTAGGGTTGTTTTTGTGTTTGTTTTTTTTTGTTTTTTTTTTTTCCCGAAACCGGTTTGGCTCAGTGGTGGAGCGTCGGTCTGCAGACTGAAAGGTCCCGAGTTCGATTCCGGTCAAGGGCATGTACCTTGGTTGCGGGCACATCCCCTGGTTGCGGGCACATCCCCAGTGGGGGCTGTGCAGGAGGCAGCTGGTCGATGTTTCTCTCTCATCGATGTTTCTAGCTCTCTCTCTCTCTCTCTCTCCCTTCCTCTCTGTAAAAAATCAATAAAATGTATTTTAAAATAAATTAATTAATTAAATAAAGAATTGTAGGGTTTTTTAAAGCCTATTGGCTCAATTTAGGGAAAGCCTGTGGAGGAGTTTCATTTTAAATAAAGAATGGGAAAAAATGTGATTAGTAGGAAACCATTATACTCTGTACTTATGCCTTTTATAAATTACAAATAAGCCTGAGAATGCCTTTTCCTCCCTCCCAGATGTAGGAGGGGAAAGGCAGCAAAGACATTATTGTATTTTCTTGACAACTGCTTCTTAATTTTAGGCTCGGGCACCAGAACAAATAGTGACACTGTATGAAGATGAACAGTATCCAGTTCATATGTCATTAGTAGAAATGGGGCTTGCGGAGCGAGATGAATGATGTAAGTGTGACTTGTTTACCGGTATAGTTGACATAAAATAGGTGACTAGTATAGACAAAATTAAGGCTAAGTTGCCCATAATGGCACCTTTAGACTTCCCTTGATTTCTCAAAGGAATGACAACAGAGCTCAACAAGAATCTCTCCTAGATTTCTTCTTCATAGCATAGGGGGCACTATAAATAAATTAAGCATATACTATGGAATGCATATAGCACTGTTGAGTAATCAATGTCCTAGTAACCAAGTTATCAAAGTACCTGGGTAACTAGCTAATAACTCTTTGACTTTACCCATTCACACAAAGTAACAAGTGATTCAGGAACTAGACTTGAACATTAAGCAAAGGTTTAAATAATACACATTTTGTTTTTCAGGTATACAGCCCAGGAGAAAGTTCTCTGTTGTATGTAGACCATTTCATGCTTGTTTTCCTTTAGATATTCTGCAATAATGTTGGCCCCCTTTTCTCCCCTACTATGTTGAACTGTTAGGAATTGTTTGAAAAATAGTTAATAAATATTTGCTTTAAAAATTTTGTATTCCTATAATTTTGAAATATTTTAGACCCATGGGGAAAAAACAATTTAGTTTCATTTATAATTAACTCGAGGCCCAATGCACGGAAATTAGGCCTTCCTTCCCTCAGTTGCCAGCACCGGTTTCCCTTTGGCACCCGAAATCTGGGCTGGCTTCCCTCGGGCTGCCTTCCAGCACCTGGGATCTGTGCTGGCGTCTCTCAGCATATTTATGTACCAGGAAGGATGTCTGGTCTAATTAGCATATTACCCTTTTATTATTATGAATGTAATAAGAAAAGATATTAGTACAGTTGTAGGCACGTGTAGTACCTCTTCCACAATCATTCTCTTCCCTGTAAAGGTGAGCACTACTGTGAATTGGGTGTTTATCATTCTTAAATAGATCTTTATAACTTTTTACTGTCTATGAATGCATCCCTAAACAAAATGTTACTCTGTATATTTTTAAATGCATGCAATGCCTCACAATTACTATTACTTTCCTATTTCATTTCCACTGTTTATCCGTATTGGTATATTTTACTCACTTTATTATGTCCATCTATGTACATAATTTATTCTGTTGCTAAATATTTTTAAATTGTTCCCAGTTTTTTCTCAGTTACAAGTATTCTTCTGTAGGAGCCCTTGTGTACATGTGAGTGGTTTTCTAGTGTATTAGTAGTACGGAGTCATGGATAATTGCTTTCCAAAAGGGGATTTACCAGTTTACTCCCTCATCAGTTCCTTGCCAACACATGCTGTGGCCAGACAATTATTTGAAGTGTATGGTACTAGTATAAAAAGGTAGCCCATTATAGTCACTTGTTTATTATTTGTTACCATATTCTTTGTCCATTTTTCTATTGAATCGTTGGTAATTATCTTAGTGTTTTGTAGGATTCTTTATACATTCTGGATATTGAATCCTTTGTCAAGTATATGTATCTTTAATGAGTTTATGGCTTAATACTGTTTTTTGTGGCATTTAAAAAAATATTTTTATTGATTTGAGAAGAGAGCAAGCGAGAGAAACAATGGTGAGAGAGAAACATTGATTGGCTGCCTCCTGCTACGAGTAGCACATGCTCTTACGGGAAATCAGATGGTGACCTCCTGGTTCATAGGTCAACGCTCAACCACTGAGCCACACTGGCCAGGCTATGGCATCTTTATGTCATTTTTATGTGGCTTTCTAAGTCTTATTTAAACCTTCTCCCCCTGGCCCATGTGCTCAGTGGTGAGAGCATTGGCCAACACACCAAAGGATCACGGGTTCAATTCCTGGTCAAGAGCCACACACCTGGGTTACAGATTTGATCCCCAGCCAGGGTTCATGTGAGAACCAACCAATGGATGTCTCTCTCACATTCATGTTTCTTTCTTTCTCCCCCCCTCCACTCTCTCTAAAAGTCAATGGAAAAAATATCCTCAGTATCATCAGTCGGCCTTGATCCGGCATCTAGAAGGGTTCAGGAAATCTGGAGAAGGGGCAGTGCGTAAATTAGAGTCCCAAGACGAAATATAATTTTGAAAGGCAAAGGAGCTTGGCTGAAGAAACCAAGTTCTCTTTGTCTCAGGACCCCTGGCTTTTTATTAACACAATTTGTCCTAAGGCAAGATATACACATAAAAAGATAGGGATGGTACAGAATCCATTGTCGAATGGGGAATTGCCTTTGGCTGTTCAGGTGTTTGGCCAACTGGAGCCAATAGCACGTAGATTAAGATGCCCTGAGCTGTCTGGCAGCAAGCAATCAATTTATGTATCCCTTTCAGGTTTGGGGAAATGCCTTTCAGCCATCCCAGATGATACAGCCCTTGCTGACATGCTGGAATTGGCTTCAGGCACCTTAGGTGAAAGATTAACAAACAAAAACAAAAAGGTTCTTCTCTATTTTTGAGGTAATAAATCTTTTATTTTCTCTGAAAAGTTTTCACCTTCATATTAATTTCTTAAATCACCTGAAATACATTAAGCTTTGAAAAAGAAAGTCATTGCAGCCCTCACTGGGTTGCTCAGTTGTTTGGAATGTCATCCCATACACCAAAAGGCTGTGGCTCGATTCCTAGTCAGGGCACATACCTAGGTTGTGGGTTGGTCAGATATATTTGGGAGCAACTCATCAGTGTTTCTCTCTTTCTCTCTAAAAATCAATAAACATATCCCTGCATGAGAAAAAAAAAGTTTTTAAGATTTTTTTTTACTGAGTCATTGCCATCACTATTGTCATATTACACTGACTAGACCCATTTTTTATTACATAAATTTACATGTAAATGACTTGCCCTTCCTTCAAGGAGATCTAGCTTCTGTCAGCCAACTGTCTTATCTATAGCCTATAAATAAAAGGCTAATATGCAAATAGACCGAACGGCAGAACAGCTGAACAACAGGTCATTATGATGTGCGCTGACCACCAGGGAGCACATGTGGAACATGGTGGGCATCAGCAGCAGGTGGCAGAGCATGGAAAATGGCAGGATGGTGGTGCACCTGAGCAGGGGTGCCAAACCAAGGCAGGGCGCCAATAGCTGTCATTGGGGCGAGCCTCTGGTGGTTACTGAAAATTATTTGCTCCCACATGCTGCGGTCCTGCCTGGCACTCTCAACTGCTGCCAGCACCAGAGCTGCCACTTACACCCAATGCTGGTGCCAGAGCCACCCCTCACACCTGTTTCTGGCACCCAGTGCCGGTCCCAATCACCCCTGAGGGCTTATCCACCTCCCCCTGCCTCCTGAGGGGCGACTGTGGCAGCAGCCACCGCCGCTCACACCCACTACTGGCACCAGCCCCAACTGCTCCGCACCGTCAGGGTGTGAGCGGCGGGGGCTGGAGCAGGGCTGCCGGCAGACCAGGAGACTGGAGGACGTGGCAAGAGGAGCCATGGAGGATGGGCCAAGACCCACCCTATGCCCACAGCAGCCTCTTGGTCCGCAGTTCCTTTCAAGTTGCACAAATTCGTGCAGAGAGCTCCAGGTGTGTGTGTGTGTGTGTGTGTGTGTGTGTGTGTGTGTGTGTGTGTGTATGTATGAAAGTCCAGCGACTGGAATGGCAGACCAGTGGCACTGTGACAGCCAACCAGCCTGATCTGGACCCCCATCAGCCCCCAATACCCCAATTGGGCAGGGCCAGCTGCCAACCACTCGAGGTTCCTCCCCCCAGCCTGTCCCACCCCCAGACTCCCTCCCAGCCATGCACAATTTTGTGCACCAGGCCTCTAGGAAGTCATAACATACCTGTAGCCAATCACCTATGCCCCCTCCAGTCTCAAGTGTTACATTTTAACCAATTACAATGTCACCCTCATTATTAACTGCTTTCTCTTCACTCAGTTCATCTGTACCCAAAGAATGAACTTTTACCTCTTTTACTTTCTCATTTCATTACAATTAATGAACCTCTGTAACAGATAAAATTCTTTAATTATTGAACTAATTATACCTAGTAATATTTTGACTAATAAAATTCTTAAGTAAATTTTCTGTAAAGTCCTTGTTCTATAGCTAATGTCCAGTGGAAATGCTATGCAAAATTGTGTATCTTTAAAAAAAACCTCACCTGAGGATATATTTATTGAATTTTTTTTTAGCAAAGAAGGGAGAGAAAGAAACTTTGATGTGAGAAACATTGATAGGTTGCTTCCCATATACACCCCACCCAGAGATCAAACCCATAATCTAGGTATGTGCCCTGACCGGGAATCAAATCCACTACCTTTTGGTATACGGAATGATGCTCCAATCAACTGCGCCATCCAGCTGGGCGTACTTGTTTTTTTATAAAGATCTCCAACCAATAAAAGCACTTACTTATAAAGTTTATACAGTTTTTAACAATAGTCTTTCCTTAAGTGTTAACAGAGTAAGCGAATTAAAAATGAAAGCTGTCCTTGTGCATTTCAAAATTATGAAAAGGTATAAATTTTATATTCCAACAATCTTTTCCATTTCTACACACACACACACACACACACATATAAATTAAACCACAAAATTGACAAGAACTGTACATTTTCACCAAGAAATCAAGTTGGTGTCATTCCATGATTCACACCCACAGGAGCATCACAATTCGCACCCATTAGAACATTCCCGTCCTTGTCTTTAACTCTTACTCGGCCATGAGGGTATTTTGTTTCTTGACGCCCATTTGCATAGACAGTTTTAACAGTGCCGTCTGGATACTCCCGCCTCTTGAACTGGGCAGTGTGTAGTTCTCTCTGGCCATTATTAAACTCTATGATTTTTCTTCCATCTCTGTAAATTTAAAATAGAATTTAATTTTGTATCCTTTTCTCTGCACAAAACCTTCTTTGCAAATTCTTCCAGTAACCCTGCTACAAGGGGATAATTCCAGTTATCAGATTAGCACTTAAATGTATCCACACAAAAAGCTTTTTAAAAATAAATTGCTGTATTCACCACAATGCCTCGGTTTGGTGTTTTGTGTTTTTTTGTTTTTTAACTAACATGTATTCTGCCTCTAAGAAAACTAGGCACTGTTTTAAAATAATGGCTTTCAGTTTTGACAATTTTCTTTACACAAAATTAAAAGCCACCTGGGTCTGTGTTTGCATCAGACTGGAGAAGAAAAGGGGCATGATCAGACCTGAAGCCAATGATGAGGCAGAATAAGGAAAATAGTTAATACCAAGTTGACTGTGTGTGGGGGACATTCACATAGGGATATTGAGTTCAGATGAAAAGAGAGGCCAGGAGTTAATGCCTAAAGACGGAGAGATGAGTCCAAGGAGTTTTCAAAGCGTAATTTACATGTAAGATTTTGCTCCAACTTAGGAACAAACTGCTATTTACTAACACCAGATAAAGAATTCATGTTTTAAATTTTTTTAGGAGGGGAGCAAGTTTATATCATAGAATTCAATTTAATTCAATGCATCTATGTGTTAGCTGTGTTCATGTTAATGGGTGCTTAACTATCACTCTACGAGAAGAAGGCTGACAGACCTTCACCATGGTTTGAATTAAATGGTGATATATGCTACTCGATACTGTGGGCTGAGAAGTCAGTTAAAGTTTCTCACTTCTAGAAACAGGACATTCAAGGGAGTTGACTTTAAAGAATGGGGTCAGGGTGACCAGAGGAGAAAAGTGCTTACAAAGTGACAGGAAGGGCAAGAAAATGAAAGCGTGAGAGGAGAAAGTCTGGCTTAAACACGGCGGCCATTGTTGGATTATTCTTAAAGCTACCAGGACAGTTTTTCCTTCTGGGTCTCATTCCCTGTTTTCAAATTTCACCAAATTTGTTTATAAACAACTAATTGCCATTCTTATTTCCTAAAGTGCTATATAGACTCTTTTTAGATCTCCAGGATTTGTTTATATATTAGGATGTTTCTCTCAAACTAGTTCTAACTCCAAAAGGCTGAGAATACTTCTCATCTGCTCTCTGTATCTTTGCTGACTTCTAAACTCACTGAAATTTTAAGTGATTTACACAAATGTTTAAAGATTTTATTTACTAGAGGCCTGGTACAGGACATTCGTGCACTTGTGGGGGAAGGGAGAATCCCAGACCCTTCTGTGTGTGGGCCGACACTCTAAACACTGGGAAACATTAGCCATGACCAAACACTTTAAGATTTTAAAAATTCAACTGGTAATAAAAGTTGAATCATGAAAACTAGAAAATCTATAAACAAATTTAACAGGTATCATACCGTTGTACTCTGACAATTGTGCCATCTGGGAAAATGCTTTCTTCTTGTCCATCAGCAAATAAATTTTTGATAGTCTGGTCAGGAAATGTGATTTCTTTTCTTCCATCTGGGAAGTGTTTTTCTGTTTCAAAAAGGTTACTATAAATGTTTTTTTTTTTTTTAAAGAAGGGCAGAATTTAACAAGGAGAGGGCAGGGCAAGTTTTTACCTATCTGTCCACTTGAGAAATGTAGGACTTCTAGTCCTTCAGGGTAAGTGGTGTGGGTGGTCTGGGCGGCTGCATAGTAGTAGATCTGTAAAGACATAGAGTCACTATGGCTTCTCTTCAGAGACTGGAGGCCCAGTGCACGGAATTCATGCACAGGGATGGGGGAGTCCCCTTAGCCCAGCCTGCACCCTCTGCAAGCTGGGACCCCTCGGGAATGTCCCTCTCACAATCCGGGAACATTGACTCCTAACTGCTCACCTGCCTACCTGCCTGATCGCACCTAACTGCTCCCCCTGCTGGCCTGGTCACTTCCAACTGCCCCCCCCCCTGCTGGCCCGGTCACTCCCAACTGCCCCCCCCACTGGCCTGGTCACTCCCAACTGCCCCCCCCGCTGGCCTGGTCACTCCCAACTGCCCCCCCCCCACTGGCCTGGTCACTCCCAACTGCCCCCCCTGCTGGCCTGGTTGCCCCCAACTACCCTCAGCCCCCCGCCACCCTGATTGCCCCTCATTGATCCTCCCGCTGGTCTGGTCACCCTCAACTGCCTTCCCTGCAGGGCTAGTAGCCCCACACAGCCTGTTCAGTTGTCCATTTGGTTGTTTCGGATGCAATGGTCGCTTAGCCATATATAACTGTTTAAAGGGTTATTTACACTACAGATAAAACAAGCCCCAAGGAAACCTACCACTCTCTCATCTGGCATGACCTGCTTTACATCACCGTTGAAGAAAGTGACAGTGACCGTCTTCCCGTCTGGACTCACTTCTTTTCGAGTTCCATTTGGAAACAATATAACACGGCACCCATTTTTATAAACCTTCTCTATCTACAAAACAGGAAAACATCATCAATAGATTTCCTCCTGAGACCATGTGACAAAAATAGCTCTCATTCTCTTCCTAATTGTTTTTCTTTTTATGAAAAAATTTCAAAGTAGGCATTCTCTCAAAAGGAGAAAAAAGTTAATAAACTCATTACAATCAACTTCACTTATCAACACGTTACATCTTTATTTCCCTTATTCCCTCAAACAAACTTCTTGGTGGAGCTTTTTAAAGTAAACTGCAGACACCACCTATAATCACATTATTAACATAACTACACCAGTATCACCCCTAACAATATGTCACTCCTTCATATAGCCATTTACATGGTTTCCCTAAATTCAAAAAAGGCTTTTTACAGTTCATGGGAATCAGAATCAAAACCCAATCCACACACACTTAGTTGATATCTAAACAGACACCCTTATGCCAATTGTTGAAGGAATTGCATCACTGAACCAGTAAAACTTCCCACATTCCAGATTTGGTCCATTGCTTTCCCAAGATGGTATATCTAACATGTTTCTCTTTGCCCCTATATTTCCTAAGAAGACTAATAGCTAGATCTAGAGACACGATTAACTTCCAGTTTAATTGCTCTGACGGGAATGTTCTGTAGGTGCTGCTGTGAGCTTCCTATGGCTACAGCACGGACTGGGCCAGTCAGGTCGCCGTGAAGCCTGCCGTCCTCTCACCTAGGGTTTCAGGAGTCGCTGACGGCTGCTGCCTAGATTCTTTCCTTCATTAGGTGTGGAAACCTGATGATTTCTTAATTTTCTCACCCCTTTTCCATTTATTAGCTGGAATTCTTCTACAACATAAAAGCTTTCCTCATCAACAGTTTGTTTCCCTAAAGCAGAGTTTGTATAGGAAAAGTCTACCTATTCCTTTTGAATTGTTCTTTGTCTTCTCATTCCAAAAGACAAGCAATGAACTCCTGCCTTATGATTAACTTCAATTAAAACAAATCAGAGTATTTGGAAAAGTAAGTTTTCTATAAAGCTGAAGAAAATCCCCTTCTTACCTCCCCAGTAACACTGTTTGATCCCTTCCCTTCTCATTCCCTCTTCAAGTTGGCTCGCCCAGGCTGCCAGGCTGGGAGCGGCCAGGCCCGGGGGAGCAGGCGGGGCTGGTGCGGCCAGGCCCGGAGCAGCGGCTGCCAGGCTGGGAGCGGCCAGGTTCGGGGGAGCAGGCGGGTCGGGTGCGGCCAGGCCCGGAGCAGCGGCTGCCAGGCTGGGAGCGGCCAGGCCCGGAGCAGCAGCAGCCAAGTCCAGAGCAGCTAGGTCGGGAGCGGCAGTGACCAGACCCGGAGCAGCTGGTTGTGGAATGAACCAGAGCAACAGAGGCCAGGCCCTGAGCAGCCAGGCCCAGAACAGCTCGCTCCTTGCCTGCCCCTGCCCCACGGCTGCTTCTCAGACATGGCTGGAAACTTTCGTGGGAACTTGAGGGTCTGCTGAATCAAGTGATGAAGGCTTAGATCTGGATGTGTTGAGTTAGTTTAGGACTGGGGTGATGATCTGTGAGTGCCTTGGGTGGGGCCTGGATGAGGCTGGTGGACCTATTGGGAAATGTCTTTTGTGTGAAGTGTATCATTGGGCATGTGGAGGTATTATTGATATGAGAAAATGCTAAGTAACTGATTTACTATCTGAAAAGGGATTTACTATTGGGGAAATTGAGGGAAGAAGAGACTGAACATAAACTGCACCTATGGATGAGGACAATGGGGGATGGGGAGGGGGCAGAGGGTGGGGTGGGAACCTGGTGGAGGGAGGAAGAAATGAGGAACCTTTGTAATAATATGAACAATAAAGATTGATTTAAAAAAAAAAAAAAAAAAAAAGTTGGCTCGCCCAGCCAGGCAACAGCTTTCACGCCCCAGCCTCTCCTAGGCCCGGGAGAACACTGCAAGCGGGCAATGGAGAGAGGTACCCGGTCCAGAACACACTCCGGAAAGGCTGCAGGGAGGCTGAGGCTTCTAGCTGTGTGCTGAGGAAGAATAAAGGGTTGGGACAAAGGAACTCTATTCTTCGTTCTGCTACATTTCTAAACTAAAAATGGCAACTAATGCACATTGTATATTCAGCATTTTTTTTTTTTTTTTTTTTTTTTTTTTTTTTTTTTTTTACTGATTTCTGAGAGGGAGGGAGAAACATCAATGATGAGAATCATCGATCAGCTGCCACCTGCATGCCCCCTATTGGGATCAAGCTGCAACCCTGGGCATGTACCCTAATTGGGAATTCTCCTGGTTCACAAGTCAAGACTCAACCACTGAGCCACACCTGCCAGACTATATTGAGCATTTTTGGTCAAGTCCAAAGATTCAACCCGAGGTCATGCCCCAAGGTATTAACATTTTTGAACCCTATAAACAGTTATAAAGATCTATTATTTTATAATCAAGTGTTTCAACTCTATTTTAACCCATGTTTATTTTTTATAATACATATTTTTAAAGTTCTAACCTTTCCATCAGGATGACTGATTTCTCCCTGAATTTCTTCTTTTTCCTCTTTTTCATCCTCCTCTTTATAGTCAGGATCTGGGAAATCCACTGAGTCGAGAGGCCCCCTGGGTGTGGCAGTCTGTAGGGACAAGAGGTTCTCAGCTGTCCCGTAGGCTGGCAGTCGCCAACCTCACAGATTGGTGACTGCTGCTGAAGGACATCCCGTAACATTTCAAGCAGCTAAAATTTAAACTTACTTCAAAAAGCTAGATCCAATATTATAGGATCTGTGACTGGTGTTTGGTGTTATATAGAAAACATGTGCAATGTTAAGTAAAAAGACTCCTTTATAAGTCATTTAAAAACTTATGTCAGTTAACTAATTGACTTTAAGCCAGAGTCATGTTTGAATATATAAAAATATAAAGAGATTTACTTGTCCCTTATCCAAATTGCGTAAGTCACGAGAAGACACAGACTTGGATCTCCGAGATGGATTGCCTGTAGAATATAATAGTCAGAGTTTTAATATTTAATTGAAAGTTTTAAATTAACATTATAAACATTTAGTTCATATCCTTCTTTTGTGAAATGCTGTTACTCATTAATTAAGGAAGTCTGAATATTTTTCTTGACTAATTCACCGGAGTTCATTATATAAGTTGAGATGTGTATTCAGGTACTGACGTCCTGAGTGACCAAGAAAGACAAAGACAGTATCTCTTCCCTGAGAGTTTATAATCGGAGGAAGTCACAGGTACTCAACTAGCCCCACCGGCCACAGGTATTGTGGAGACAACGATGAAGACTTCAGATAGAGACTAGGTCTGAGGAATAGGTAATAGAGACATCCAACAAGACACAATAGAACGTGGCTTGAAAAAGTATTATTTAAATAAAATCTAGACCAAACAGCTGTAGTCTATACATTTTTTAAATCATGATCAACAAACCAATCATATACTATACTCTAGGCCTGATGAACGAAAATTTGTGCGAGAGCAGGCCTTCCTTCCCCAGGCTGCCGCTGGCTTCCCTCCAGCATCCAGGACCCGGGCTGCTACCTACGGCCCCGGCTTCGTCTGGAGGGATGTCTGGTCTAATTAGCATATTACCCTTTTATTATTACAGATTTGCAATATGTTATAAAATAAGCATACACACACACTACCATCCTACCATAAACTGAGGTTAACTTTTTAAAATATATAAGAGTTTTGAGCAAGTGCCAGATTCTGACTTACATGTTAAAAACTAAAATGTATGCTGGAAGCTCTGGGGAGAACAGACTAGGTAAGACTAGAGGTAGAATCCAGAGGCTGGTAAGAATTTGAGAATGTCTGTGTGGCGTCTACTTGACAAATGTTAGCAATTCAATATGGTTCAACCTACTACATTCAGATAATATCAACATCAGAAGGATTACTTTAGGGATTGATGGAAGTGGGAGGTTAGGATAAAAGAAAAAAGGAATCAGGAAGTACACGTATGTTTTTAGCTTTCGTAAGCAGACAGGTTCTGGGGAGAGAAGTGCTCTTCAGACAGGGTAAAGAACAATTCCTCCACCTGACAGGTGCAAAATAAACTATACAATCTGAGCTCTATGCTACATATTTCTAAACTTTACACCCACTTTCCATACAAAAGACTATTATCCCCATGTTATAGGAGAGGGTGAAAGTGACTAACCTCCTTCGGAGCCAGGGTGGGGGTAACAGGGACAGAGGTGGGGTAAGAATGCAAGGTGTCTGCTGAGCTCCCCCCCTAGATGTCAGGAAGCTGGCTGGGGAAGACCTGGGAGGAGCCCACCCGCACCCGGATGGCCTCTTCCGGATGAGCCAGGCTGCAACCACTGGGGCCGCAGGGGCCAGTCAGGCTGCCCGTGGGTTCACACAGGAGCCAGTCTGCGAGGCCAGCTGGGCGAGAGCACGCTACCCACCCGCTCCCATGTGGAGCTGCTGGGCACCCAGAGGTCCATGCGGAGCCCAGAGCACGGCATCCAGACGTGCTCGCTGCATCGCCATGGGGCCCGGGAGCTGTGACTCAGGGAGGAGGAACATGGAGGCCCAGAGGTCAGCTGGGACCTGCCCTTCCACGCCAGATGCTTGTGCTTCGATCTCCAGCCAGGCCTAGAGTCCACACCTGTGCACATATTTTGTGCACCGGGCCTCTAATAAATAAATAAAAATTTAAAATAGTAATAAAAAATTAAACTCTAAAGGCCAAAAGAAAACAAAATGATGTAATCAAAGTGCTAAAAAATAAAAACTGCCAGCCAATAATACTTTATCTGGCAAAGTTATTCTTCAGAAATGAAGGATTTCCCAGATAAACAAAGCTAAGCAAGTTCATCACTACTACACCTGCCTTACAAGAAATGCAAAAGTAGTTCCTTTAAGCTGAAACAAAACAAAAAATAATGAGCAACATAAAAACTTACAAAAGTACAAGACACACTAGTAAAGGTGAAATTTTATAGTCAGATACAGAAACTCTATAACAGGCCGGTGTATTAACCACTTATTGTATAAAGGTTAAAGGAAAAGTATTAAAAATAACTACAGTTATTAATAGATACACAATATAAAATAGTAAACTGTAATACCAAAACACAAAGGGCGGGGTAAAAGGGTGGGCCCTTTATTGAAGCCTTTTAAAGGAGAAGGAAGCGCAGTTGCTAGAAGGAAGCGCAGTTGCTATCAGCACAAAACAGACGTTATCTCTGTCTTATGTCAGCTTCATGGTAACTACAAGCAAAAATCTAGAGTGCATCCATGAAACAACAACAACAAAAAAAGGTTGGAAAATCATTGATTTCAAAGATAAGCAGAAACAATGTAAATACAAAACAACTAGAAAGCAATCAATAAGATGGCAGTAAGTTCTTATATATCAACTAGAGGTCTGATGCATGAATTTGTGCATGGGTGGGGTTCCTCGGCCTGGCCAGTGATCAGGGCTAATTAGGGCCCTGGGAAGTTGGCAGGCCAGGGGGAGGGAAATGCTGGACAGAGTTCCCCTGACAGGGCAGCTGCTACTACTACTGGGTCCCTTCTCAGAGCTACGGGCTCGGATGGGGAGACCAACACCATCTTGAAGGGGAAAGTGGATGTTATAGAAAGCCTGAGGGTCTACAACTGTGGCAACCACCGAGCAGCTGCAAGCCCAAAACACCGGTCCCCAACTGGTGCAAACGTGGATTCAGAGGAGCTCTTCACTCCACCACAGAAGGGCCATATTTCACCTGGGATAAGGAGAGAACTACATCATCAGATATCTGGAGAAGAGAGACCATGGAGAGACAAAGAAACAATCCACATATGAAAGAAAAGCAGGCATCAACAGAAAAGAAAGTAAATGAAATAGAGGCAAGGAACCTGTCAGAGAAAGAATTCAGAGAAATGGTCATAAGGTGGATGAAAAGAATAAAAGACAAATTTGACAATATGAGTAAGAACCAAGAGGAAATGAAGACCCAAGAAGAAATGAAAAATGACACCGCTGCTGTAAAGAACTCAATAGAAAGCATCAACAGTAGACTAGAAGAAGCAGAGGACCGCATCAGTAAGCTAGAAAACAAGGTAGGAAAAAATACCCAAGTAGAGCAGCTTCTAGAAAAAAAAATTAAAAAGCAGAAGAGCCTAAGGGAACTTTGGGACAACACGAAACAAAACAACATCCTCATAATAAGGGTACCTAAAGGAGAGGAAACTGAGCAAGGAATAGAAACCCTGTTTGAGGAAATAATGACAGAAAATTCCCTAATGAAGGGAAGGAAAAAAACACAAAGTCCCAAGCAAAATGAACCCAAAAAAACTGACACCAAGGCACATTATAATTAAACTGACAAACACCAATGACTAAATAAGAATCTTAAAAGCGGACAGAAAGAGACAGAAATTTACCTACAAAGGAACCCCCATCAGACTAGTGACTGATTTCTCAACAGAAACTCATCAGGACAGAAAGGAATGGAATGAAATATGTAAAGTCATGCAAAGGAAGGGTCTGAATCCAAGAATACTGTACCCAGCAAGGCTATCAATCAAAAGTGAAAGTGAAATCAGGAGCTTCACACACAAAAAAGGACTAAGGGAATTTATTACCACCAAACCAGCAATGTAAGAAATGCTAAAGGGTCTGCTGAAAAAAAAAAAAAAAATAGAAAAGAAATAGGAAGCGAAGAAGGAACACAGGGGTAAAGAATAAAAATGGCGACAAACAAGTACCTATCAATAACTTTAAATGTAAATGGATTAAATGCCCCAATCAAAAGACACAGAGTAATGGATTGGATAAGAAAACAAGACCCATATATCTGCTGTCTACAAGAAACCCATTTCAGAAAAAAAGACACTCACAGACTGAGGATGAAGGGATAGAAATGGAAATGGAAATGAAAATAAAGCTGGGGTAGCAATACTTATATCTGACAAATTAGACCTCAAAGTGAAAGGCATAAAAAGAGATAAGGAAGGCCACTTCATAATACAAAAGGGAGCAACCCAACAAGAAGAAATAACTCTGGTAAACATATACACAACCAATACAGGAGCACCCAAATACATTTAAAAAAAAACAAACAAAAAAACAAACAAACAAAAAAAAAACTCCTAGAGTTAATCAAGGGAGAGATTGACAACAATAATCATAGGAGGAAACCTTAATACCCCACTATCACCATTGGACAAATCCTCTAAACAAAAAATCAGCAAAGAAACATCAATCCTAAATGACTCACTAGACCAGATGGAAGTAATTGACATGTTTAGAACATTTCACCCGAAAGCCACAGAATATACATTCTTCTCAAGTGCACATGGGTCATTTTCAAAGATAGACCACATGTTGAGACATAGACAAAGTCTCTTCAAATTCAGGAAGATAGAAATCATATCAAGCATCTTCTCAGATCACAGTGGCATAAAACTGGAAATCAACTACAATAAAAATAACCCAAAGAAATCAAACACATAGAGACTAAACAGCATGATATTAAACAATGACTGGTTACCAGAGATATCAAGGAAGAAATAAAAAACATCATGGCAACAAATGACAATGAAAACAGAACAATACAAAATCTATGGGACACAGAGAAAGTATTCTTGAGAGGGAAGTTTATAGCTCTACAAGTCTACTGCAAAAAACAAGAAACAATGGTAATAAGTTACCTATCTCTACTACTCAAAGAGTTAGAAAGAGAGCAAGAAAAGCCAAGTGTAAGCAGAAGGAAAGAATAAAGATGAAGTGGAGATAAACGACATAGAGACCAAAAATAAATAAATAAAATACAAGAGATCAACAAAACCAAGAGGTAGTTTGTTGAAAGGATAAACAATATTGATGAACCTCTAACCAGGCTCACCAAGAAGCAAAGAGAGAGGACCCAAATAGACAAAATCAGAAATCAAAGAGGTGAAATGACAACAGACCCCACCAAAATACAAAGGATTGTTAAAAAAAAAAAAAAAAAAATACTACAAACAACTCTATTTCAACATACTGGACAACCTGGAGGAAATGGACATATTCCTAGAAAAATATAGCCTTCCAAAACTCAATCAGGAAGAATCTAAACAGCTCAATAGGCCAATAGCTATGGAAGAAATTTTTATATATATTTTATTGATTTTTCACAGAGAGGAAGAGAGAGGGATAGAGAGTTAGAAACATTGATGAGAGAGAATCTTTGATCAGCTGCCTCTTGCACACCCCCTACTGGTGGATGGGGATGTGCCTGCAACCAAGGTACATGCCCTTGCCCAGAATCGAACCCGGGACGTTTCAGTCCGCAGGCCGATGCTCTATCCACTGAGCCAAACCGGTCCCAGCAGCTATGGAAGAAATTTAAGCAGTCATCAAAAAGCTTCTGGCAAACAAAAGCCCAGGTCCAGACGGCTTCACAGGGAAGATTTACCAAACATTCAAGGAAGAATTAAGCCTATCCCCTCGACTATTCAAAAAAATTCAAGGGGAAGAACACTTCCAAACTCCTTCTATGAAGCCAGCATCACCCTAATCCCAAAACCAAATAAAGACAACTCAATGAAAGAGAATTACAAGCCAGTATCTCTCATGAACATAGATGCCAAAATCCTCAACAAAATTCTAACAAATCAGATCCAACAGTACATCAAAAAGATCATGCACCACGACCAAGTAGGATTTATTCCAGGAATGCAAGGATGGTACAATATCCGCAAATCAATAAACGTGATACATCACATAAAATGAGAGGTAAAAATCATATGGTCAAATCAATTGATGCAGAAATTGATCCAACACCCTTTCTTAATAAAAACTCTCAACAAGGTGGGAATAGAAGGATCATACCTCAACATAATAAAAGCTATAGTATATGACAAATCCACAGCAAACATCATACTCAATTGGCAAGAACAGAACAAGGATGTCCACTCTCACCACTCCTGTTTGACATAGTACTGGAAGTATTAGCCATTGCAATTAAAAAAAGAAGAAATAAAAGGAATCCAAATTGGAAAAGAAGTCCTTATTTGCAAATGACATGATATTGTACATAAAAGACTCCATCAAAAGCTAATAGACTTAATAATCAAATTTGGAAATGTATCAGGATTAATGCCAAGCAATCTGGCATTTCTATACACCAATAGTGAACTTACAGAAAGAGAGACTAAAAAAACAATCCCATTTACCATTGCACCAAAAAAAAATTAAAATACCTAGGAATAAACTTAACTAAGGAGGTAAAAGACCTATACAAGAGAAACTACAGGACACTGCAAAAAGAGATAGAGGAAGACATAAACAGATGGAAGAACATACTGTTTATGGATGGGTAGAATCAACATCATTAAAATGTCTATACTACCCAAAACAATCTATAGATTCAATGCACTCCCCATTAAAATACCAATGGCAGGCTTCGCAGACATAGAACAAACTCTCCAAAAATTCACCTGGAATAAAAAAAGACCCTGAATAGCCACAGCAATCCTAAGAAAAAAGAATAAAGTAGGAGGAATCTCAATACCAGATTTCAAGCTGTATTACAAAGCCACTGTTCTCAAAACAGCCTGGTACTGACACACAAACAGACATATAGACCAATGGATAGAATAGAGAACCCAGATATTGACCCAAACTATGATCAATTAATATTTGACAAAGGAGGCATAAAAATACAATGGAGTCAAGACAGCCTCTTCAATAAATGGAGTTGGGAAAATTAGACAGATACATGCACAAAAAAAAAAAATGAAACTAGATCACCAACTTATACCATACACAAAAATAAACTCAAAATAGATACAGGACTTAAACATAAGACAGAAAACCATAAAAATACTAGAGGCATCCACAGGCAGCAAAATCTCAGACATCTGCCGAAAGAAATTCTTCACTGATACTGCCCCTAGGGCAATGGAAGCTAAAGAGAAAATAAACAAATGGGACTGCATCAAAATAAAAAGCTTTTCACAGCAAAAGAAACCATCAACAAAATAACAAGGAAGCCCACTGTATGGGAGAACATATTTGCAAATGTTATCACTGATATAAAGGTTTAATCTCCCACATTTATAGGCAACTTACACAACTCAATAAAAGGAAGATAAATTAAGATCCAATTAAAAAATGGGCAACGGACCTAAATAGAATCTTTTTGAAAAAAAACAGAAGGAAGGCCAACAGACATGAAAAGATGCTCAAAGTCACTAATTATCTGAGAGATGCAAATCAAAACAACAAAGCGGTACCATCTCACACCTGTCAGAATGGCCAACATCAACAAACGACAAGTGCTGGAGAGGATGCAGAGAAAAAGCAACTCTCATGCACTGCTGGTGGGAATGCAGACCGGTGCAACCACTGTGAACAGTGTGGAGTTTCCTAAAAAAAACTGAAAATGGAACTCCCATTTAACCCAGTAATCCCACTCTTAGGAATATATCCTAAGAAACTAGAAACACCAATCAAAAAGGATATATGCACCCCTATGTTCATAGCAGCACAATTTATAATAGCTAGGATTTGGAAACAGCCTAGGTGCCCATCAGCAGATGGTTGGATTAAAAAACTATGGTACACCTACACAATGGAATACTATGCTGCCATAAAAAAGAAGGAATTCTTATCATTTGCAGCAACCTGGATGGAATTGGAGAACATCATGCTGAGTGAAATAAGCCAGTCAATGAAAGAGAAACACCACATGATCTCACTCATTTATGGATAATAAAGAACATTATAAACTGATGAACAAAAAGATAGATACAGAGATAGTAAAGCAACAAGTAGACTGTCAAATTACAGTGGGGAGGATAGGGAGATCTGGGGGAGATAAGAGATCAACGGAAGGACTTGTATGCATGCATATAAGCATAACCAATGGACGCAAAACTGGGGAGGGAGGGCATGTATTGGAGAGGGGTGTGTGTGTGGGGGAGGAAATGGTAAGATATGTACACATATAATAATGAATGGAAAAAAAAGGGCTTTTTGCAGCCCTATTCATGTTATTGACACACTGGATGAAACATGAATGCCCATCAATAGGAAAACTTGACTGGCAAATACACGTGGATTCTGTAAAGCTATTATAATCAATAAACTACAGTTTATATGTACTAATGTGGTAAGTTTTAAATTTTGAAGAGAAACAAATTGCAAAGGGATACATAAAGTATGAAAACAATACTATATTAATTTACGGACACAAAATAATGAAAGAATGAGAAACCAGCACGGAATGCTGTCAAGGTAAAAATTAAGTGGGGAATTAGGATACACAGAAGGCTTTAATTAAAAGCATGGTATTTTATTTCTTAGGTAGATTAATTTTCTATTCTTTAAATTCCTGAAATGTCTTCTAAAAAGATCATGCAGCTTCTTACCTTGTATGGGCAAATCATTTTTCTTGTATGTCTCTAGCTGGGTTTCTGAAGAATTTTGACTCTTTTGAATTTGAACTGATGAATTCTACAGTAAGAGATAATTATGTAAATGAATATAAAATTAGTGTTTGTCTACATATTAGTACAATGAATTAAACAGAACTCAGCTTGCAATGAGAATGTTTTAAGTTTGTTCATTTACATTGTTTTCATTTATCACTAGAGACCAGAGTGAACACACACATACACACACACCACCTCTGTAAATATATTCATTCCTCAAGTTAAGGGCATAACAGACAATGTAAGCAAAACAGTCTTCTGTGACTGTTACCAGGCCAGCCAGAGGAGAGCGGAGGAACTCATGGTTACCCATCAGTAAACCCTCTTATCTCAGCTTCTCCGGTTAACGTCCCCTCACTGCCTTGCTCTAACTGAGCCCTAAGCTCCACTGAGATGAATGCTCACATTGTCCCTTGTAGAGATGGGAGGTTTCTCACTCTCAGAGCTCACAACCCAAGACTTAGAGATAATGGGTGTCCTTGCTCTCCATCACTGCTTCCAAACAAATTTCTTTCTCTCCTCCCTACCCACCCCCACCAAGCTCCAATTTCATGGCCATGTCCTCCCTCCACCACACACCCCTCCGTGCCTTTCCGACCTATTCTCCCTCCAATCTCAGCCCTGCACTTCCACAGGCAAACTCTAGAACTAGTCATTATCACTATTTGCAATGATCAATAACTGTTCAATTTCAAAGCATTTGAATCCAGAATGTGAGGTATTCTACAAAATAACTAGCCTGGTCTATTAAAAAAGCCAATGCCAGCCCGGGACTGGTTTGGCTCAATGGATAGAGCGTCGGCTTGGGGACTGAAGGGTCCCAGGTTCGATTCCGGTCAAGGGCATGTACCTTGGTTGCGGGCATATCCCCAGTAGGGGGTGTGCAAGAGGCAGCTGATCGATGACTCTCTCTCATTGATGTTTCTAACCCTCTATCTCTCTCCCTTCCTCTCTGTATAAAATCAATAAAATATATTTTTAAAAAAAAAGCCAATGCCATTTAGTGTTCAAGTATGTATATATGGGTGATATGCCATGATTTCTACAACTACCTTCATGTGGTCCAGCAAAAAATACAATGTGGCAAAACCTTAACAGTAGTTCAATCTAGGTAAGTAGTCAGGTATTCATTGGATTGTTTTTTCAAATGCCTCTATCTGGGAAACTTCCATAATTAAATATTTGAAGAAGAGAGAATTCCACTCTCTGCCTACAGCCTACAGAGTCCTACAAGCCACTGATCTATGTGTTCTATGCCCTCACAAACTTGTAGCCTATGCCTTTCTTAAGCAGTTCATGGGTCACTGTTAACTTCTAAGCCCCTCTCTCTACTTTGTGGCATTCCCCAATGACCACACCTCCCCTAAAACATAACTTCCCACCAACCGACACCCAAAAAACAAACAAGAAAAAATAATGCAAGCCGTTCTCACTGGAAGTAACGGTTGCTAACCTACATGGGCCACGCAGCCCAGGACTCAGACTTTACTTCCCAGTCCCTGGTTTTCCTCTCTCAGACAACTATTTCACACTTTCTTCCATGTTCTCTGCCCTCACAATCAGCAGAGTATCATGCTTCCCTCTTTACTGAGAAAGTTATAGCACCAGAAGGGAACTTCCTATCAGGTAGCACCAGACACCTAGCCCTTGGTCCAGACCTTAGACCTTCTGTTATTGAAGTCAAACTGCCCGTGCTCCTGGCCAAAACCAGCCCCTCCATCAATTCACTTATTCATCCCCCAAGTCCCATCTCCCCTTACTTATGATCACTGCATCATTTCCCTCTCTACTGAAACCAACTCTGCAAATATATGAACACCTGTTAATTTCCCATCTTAAAAACAAAAACAAGTTCCCCTACAGCCACTACCCCCTTTTCTTTATATTTACTGCAAAACTTTTCCACACAAATCTCATATTCTGTCTGAAACTTCTCTCCATTCTCTCTTATCCAGTCAGGCTTTTGTCTTTGACACGTTTCTACTTGGTAAATCCAAGGACCAACCTTCAGTCCTCAACTTACTGAGCAGCAGCCTTTGATGCCTGTGTGCCACACTCCCCTCCTTAAGGGCCTCTCCCAGCTTGGCTCTCAGAACAAACACCACATGGACCTTTCCGTCTTACTCCATGGTTATTTGTCCTCCTTGGTCCCAGCTTCTTACATTCTGCTCAGTATTTGGACCTCTTCACTTTCAGCCTCAGTCATCTCAGCCCAAGGCTAATTCACCATACATTCTGATGACCCCAGACTTCTACCTGCAGCCTGACTTCTCCTAATACATGTATAACTGTCTAGTAAACATCTTTACCTGATGCTCATTGGCAAACTCACCTTGTCTGCACCTGAGCAATATGTGTTGTCTTCTTATGGACTTTAAAACAAAGGGAAATTCTTATATTAAGCAAAAAAAAAAAAAAACTAAGCGGGGAAGCCATTCCTGACTCCTTTTGTGGCTGTCACACCCCATATCAAGTTCATCAATAAATCCTGTCCACTCCTCAACCCCTCCATTGCCACTCCCCCAGTCTAAGCCACTATTATCTCATCTCTAGTCTGAATTACTCCCTAGTCCACTTTGATGTTTCTGACTGGGCCCATAGTTTCCCACCCCCTCGATCTATTCCTTCTTTTAAAATATATTTCCTTAATGATTTCACAGAATAAGGGAGGAGAGATAGAAACATCAATGATGAGAGAGTATCATTGATTGGCTGCCTCCTGCTCGCCCCCACTGGGGATCGAGCCCACAAACTAGGCATGTGCTCTTGGCCGGAATCGAACCTGGGACCCTTCAGTCCGCAGGCTGACACTCTATTCACTAAGCCAAATCGGCTAGGGTCCCCCCAATCTATTCTTAAGTCTGTAGTAGAGTGAGCTGGTGTTGGGGCTCAGAGATGCAATATGGCTCCAGCAGCAAAAGCCTCTGGGAAATGTTGGACTCTGTTTAACCCTCAGTAGCCTCGGGCTTGGTTGACCACCCAGAAAGCCAAATGCCATCCAAAGGTAAATATCATGTCCCTAAGAAGGCGGTTAATGAATGTATAGTGTGTGATAACTGCCTGATGTTATTATGCTAACTTAATAATGGATTGTTTTTGCTGGAGGTCTATGTGACTACCCACCATATGGTTTTACTTTTAATCCCCTATAAAAAAATAAATTTTTTTAAAAAGTAAGACCCTATCCTAGAAGGAAGTGGATTCTTCCAGGCAGGCAGGCCACCATGGGAGCAGCTGCCTATCCATGTATGTAAGTTTCTCCCATTAAAGCTATGATTTTGAATAAGGTTATCTGTCAGTTCTTCAAAATCAATCCTGAATTTAGACGTTGGGTGCATTCTCCAAATACTAAGATAAAGGGTCAGGCCACCCCTTCAATCAGAGCCCAGCAAGAGCTTGTGTTGCATTCAGAGAAAAAGCCCGAGTGCTTACAGAAACTATTAAGGCCTAATGAAATATGCACCCACCACCCTTCATCATATCTCTGGTTTCATCCCCTGCTATTCTCCCCTTTCTCTGCTCCAGCTTCACAGAAAGTGCTCACTTAACATCTTTAATGTGTTCTATGACTTTAAGTGAAATGACATATAATGAGAACCATTTTATCAGGCTGACTGATGTAGTAATCTTATAATGAAATGACACTGTTCGAGGAACTGCAGCACCAGCCTTTGGCATTATTGAACCCCACGCCCTCCACGTCTCCTGTGCCTGCTCTGCTTCTCACCCAGCTCCCTCTTCAGCCATTATTCAAATGTGGCTTCCTCCGTAAAGCCTTTCATGGCCATCCTACATGTAACTGCAACACTCCATACAGTTATTCCCTCTCCTTGCTTTTTCTCCTTCATTTCCACTACTATTTCACATACTATATATTTTATTTATCTATCTTATTTTATAGTCTTTTTCCTGCCACTAAAATATTAAGTTTCAAGAAGGCAAGGACATTTGCCTGTGTTGTTCATTGCTTTATCTGCAGTGCCTAAAAGCAGTGCCTGGCAAACCAGAGTTGTAGGTGACACGCATGTGACTCTCTGCAAATGCTTCCCTTGGCCTGTTTTAACTGACACTGTCTGCCTACTGCTTATAATAATCTCCTTATCAAAATTATACAAATGGCACATCACTGATCAAAGCTGTAGACCGTTACATGTCAGTGTCTTTATTCTGCTCACTGACACTGCAGAGAAGTTATTCTCCATCACTACTCAGCAAAATCACATATGCTCACTGCTTAATCATCACCTGTACTTTTTCATTTTATTTTTCCAATTTCCTTGTATTATTTTAGTGTCACTGGTTTTTAAGAGCTTGTTTATGACTAAGGATGTTAACCATTTCTAATGCATTGCAAATGAAATACCATGTTTTTTTGTTACCATTTTACTCTGATGTTTTACTTTTTGGTTGTATAAAACTTGCATATTAAACTTAATCATATGTTGTTTTTTAAAAAAAAAAAAAAAAGAATTATACAAATGAATTTGAAAATTATTTCTATAGCAATGCTCAAAATTATTTTTTTAATTATGGTAAAATATATATATATGGCATAATATTTACCATCTTTTTGTTGTTAATCCTCATCGGAGGATATTTTTTCCATTGATTTTTAGAAAGAATGGAAGAGAGGGAGAAGGGGGAGAGAAAGAAAGGAGAGACAGAAACATCAATATGGGAGAGACACAACAATTGGCTGCCTCCCACATGTGCCCCTCCTGCTGCAATCCAGGTACGCACCTTTGACTGGGAAATTGAACCCGTGACCCTTTAATGCATGGGCCAATGCTCCAGCCACGGAGCCACACCAGACAGGGCAATAGTTATACCATCTTAACCACATGTTAAAGTGCACAGGTGAGTGGTTTAAGTACATTCACACTGTCATGCACCTTTCATTCACAGAACTCTTTAACTTGCAAAACTGAAACTCTGTTCCTATTAAGCACTAACCCCTCACTCTCTCCTCCCAGTCGCCCTGGAAACCACCCTTGTGCTTTCTGTCTGTAGGAATCTGACTGCTCAAATATTTAATATCTCCCCCCAACTTGCCAAAGCCGCTGGTCTCCAAACCTACCATGGGCCGCTCTTTCTTCACGGCGGCCCTGCACTGACCCATCTTGATGCTGCCCTCAGCGGCTTCCACTTTCTTCCAAGCATCGAGTCGGAATCGCTCCATCACTTTTATTTCTTCCCGGAGGTCTGTGTTCTCTTTGACCAACATTTCTATCTGGCTTCTAAGACGGCCATGTGTACTTGACCATTTTGCTTCTTTTCTTTTCAAATCTTCCTGTAAATCTGTTACCTGCTGTTTCAAAGCCTGCCAATCCCCCATCCCCCAAAAAAGCATTAACAGAATTAAAACAATGCAACGGATAAAAAAAATACAGATTAGCTAACCTAGTACAGAGAACAGAAAAGAGAAAGCTCAATCACATTCACTAACACTGGGATTTTCAGAAAAGGGACTAGGGGTTCAGGCTCGAGTCTCACTTCATACCGTCAGCAAAATTCATTCCAGGAATCAGGAGGAGGCAGCAGGCACCACGTAAGAGTTCACTGAAATAATGTGACCTTGAGATAATAAAGATACTAATGGAGCCCTGACTGGTTTGATTCAGTGGATAGAGCATCAGCCTACACAGACTGAATGGTCCTGGGTTCAATTCCGTCAAGGGCACATGTCCAGGTTACAGGCTCAATCCCTAGCCGGGGACATGCAGGAGGCAGCCGATTGATGATTCTCTCTCATCACTGATGTTTCTATCTCTTTCTCTGACTCTCCCTTCCTCTCTGAAATCAATATAAATATATTTTTTTAAAAAGATATTAATTGAAATGAAGAGATAAATGGGGATTATCTGTTGAAGAAAAAATAAATAGGAATTAATTACTAACTGAAGGAAAAAGAGATGAGGTAAAGGAAAGAAAAAAAGATTCAAATTCAAAACTACCAACCCTGAAAATTGATCCTATTTGGAATTTATAAAAAACAGGTTTTAAGAAAATGAGTTGTTTTAGATGAACTAAATGATATAAGTGAAGAAACTCCTGGAAATGTTTAGAAGCCATCTGTAACTGTACAAAGAGAAATAAATATCAATGTAGAACTAAATTGAGATAGTCAGCTAGCTTCATAGAATACATAGGTGCAAGTCACAGGAAGTGACTTGAAGCTGAGGAAAGGAGCATACAGAGGAGGAAGTATTACCTACCACCTACCTGAGAACCTGTTCAGATATGAGACTGAAGGCAGTGAGAATCCTAACTCACTTACACACACCTCATTAACACACACGGACAATCTGACATCCATCTATGCTCATATAAACCTCAAACAACCAATAAAGTGCTACTCCAGTGAACACATGAAGATAAGAAAAATGAAACAGCCTATTGCTGACATGGAGAACGTTATAGTGGTCTGGATAGATGATCCAACCAGCCACAACATTCCCTTAAGCCAAAGCCTAATCCAAGCAAGACTCTTAACTCTTTAATTCTGTGAAGGCTGAGAGAGGTGAGGAAGCTTAGAAGAAAAGTCTGAAGCTGTGAGAGGTTGGTTCATGAAGTTGAAAGAAATAAGCTGTGTCCATAACATAAAAGTTCAAGGTGAAGTAGTAAGTGCTAATCTAGAAGCTACAGCAAGTTATCCAGAAGATCTAGCTAAGATAATTAATGAATATGGTTACACTCAATAACAGATTTTCGATGTAGACAAAACAGCCTTAGATTGGAAGAAAATGCCATCTAGACTTTGATAGCTAGCGAAGAGAAGTCAATGCCCAGCTTCAAAGCTTCCAAGGACATGCTGACTCTTGTCAGGGGCTAATGCAGCTGGTGAATTTAAGTTGAAACCACTGCCCATTTACCATTCTGATAATCCTAGGGCCCTTAATAATTATGCAAAATCTACTCTTCCTTTGCTCTATAAATGGAACAACATAGTCTGGATGACAGCGAATCTGATTACTTTAAGCCCACTGTTGAGACTAATACTCAAATTAAAAAAATTCTTTTCAATTACTGTTCACTGACAATGCATTTGGTCACCCAAGCGCCCTGATGGAGATGTACAAGAGTGATGTTGTTTTCATGCTGCTAACAACCCATTCTGCAGCCCCTAGATCAAGGAATAATTTTGACTTTCAAGTCTTACTAATTAAGAAACACATTTCATAAGACTATAGATAGTGATTCATAAGATAGTGATTCCTCTGATGGATCTAGGCAAACTAAATTGAAAACCTTCTAGAAAGGACTCAACTTTCTAAATGCCATTATGAACATTCATGATTCATGGGAAGAGATCAAAACATTAACAAGCGTTTGGAAGAAATTGATTCCAATCCTCATGGATAATTTTGAGGAGGTCAAGACTTCAGAGGAAGTAACTGGAGATGTGGAAATAGCAAGAGAACTAGAATTAGAAGTGGAGCCTAGATGTGACTGAATTGCTACAAATTCATGATAAAACTTTAACAGATGAGGAGCAAAGAGAGTAGTTTCTTGAGATGGACTTTACTCTTGGTGAAGAAGCTGTGAATATGTTAAAATGACAACAAAGGATTTAGAATATTATATCAACTTAGTTGATAAAGCAGTAACAGGATTTGAAAGAATGGATTCTAATTTTGAAAGAAGTTTTACTTTGGGTAAAATGCTATCAAATAGCATCTCATGCTAAAAATAAATCATTTGTGAAAGAATCAGTCAACACAGAAAACTTCATTGTTGTCTTATTTTAAGAAATTGCCACAGCCACCTCAAATTTCAGCAACCACCACCTTCCTTGATCAGTCAGCAGCCATAAACACCAAGGCAAGAAGTTCTACCAGCAAAAAGATAATGATTCACTGAAGGCTGGTTAGCATTTGGGGCAATAATGCTATTCTCTAAGGTATGTACATACCCTGTTTCCTCGAAAATAAGAGTGTCTTATATTAATTTTCTCCCAGAGTTGCACTAGGTCTTATTTTCAGGGGATGTCTTATCTTTACATGCGCTAGGTCTTATTTTCAGAGGATGTCTTATTTTCAGGGAAACAGGGTAGTTTTTTAGACAATAGTATAGTGTAAACATAACTTTTATATGCAAAGAAAAACCAAAATATTCATGGGATTTGTGAAATTCACTTTACCGTGGTGGTCTAGAACCAAATCCACATTATCTCTGAGTACATCTATACCATCTCTTTAATGATTTAATATTCGAAAGTATATCAATAAATATAGATTTGTTTAATCTTTTAATGATTTAGTAATCGGAAGCATATCAATAAATATAGATTTGTTTCTGATTAAGTATATACCTGTTTTTAAAGTATGTAATAACATTGCAGAGGCAGAAAGAAGAATAAATACAGGAAACTATGAATGAGCTATAATTTAAGAAAAACAAGGAACTGCACCCACAATCAAAGGAAATAATGAACACCCCTGGTTACACAAAATATCAAGTCTTTTGAAAAGGGTCCAATACTTAAATCAACATTAACAAAGCAGAAATAGGGTTCAAAAAGTTTTCAAAATTATGAAATTGTGTAATGTCTAAAAGAGGAAAGCTAATTTACCAACTCTCCAGGAAATGAGACCTCTACATCAACACTGTCCAGAATTTTCTGTAATGATGGATGTGTCCTGGACCTGCACTGTCCAATGTGATAACTACCAGTCACATAACAGCTACTGAGCAATTGAAATGTAGTTAATGTCACTGAAAAACTGAATTTTTGGTTTTATTTAATTTCATTTAACTTAAACTTAAATAGCCACATGTAGCTAATGACTAGCAGACTGGAAAGAACAGGCTTAGAAAATGAGGATAAATGGTTTGCAGGAAAGGCACCAGGCTATAATAAAGTAAAAACTTTGTGTTAGTCTCATCAAAGTAAGTAGAATGAAAATAAAGCTCATTTGCTATGGCTTGAATCACACTGGAAGAAAAAAGTTCAGCTATGACAAAGAGAGGAAAGTGGGGGGAATCAAGTTTATAATCTTGGGTGGTTTAAGAGGGATGGTGGTGTTATTTTCCTTATGGTTCTCTAAGATTTTTATAACATAGCAAGGTATCTAAGTAAGTATCACTCTACTCCTGGCAGACTTGGGAACAGTAAATATGAAATGATAAATCCATTATGCAGATATTTTAAAATAGATTATGGTTTTAAATTTAGTGAAAATTTTTCTGATAGCTGAATTTAATTTTACTGTTTAAAGTATTTGAAGTGGCCCAGGCCTGATAGTTCAATTGTTTAGGGTGTCGTCCCAGTATGCCAAGGTTGAAGGTTCAATCTCTGGCCAAGGCACATATAAGAAACAACCAACGAATGCCTAAATAAGTGGAACAACAAGTTGATATATGTCTCTCAAATTAATAAATTAAAAATATTTTAATAAAGTATTTGAAGAATTCACAAAGCCATGATAAATTTGTATTATCACAGATTATAAAAATAACCTATAATCTAGATTATAGATTTTAAAAAGAAATTCGAATAAGTTTAATATCAATTTTTAGTCTAAAGAGCAAAAAACATCTATAATAATAAAAGCATAATATGCTAATTAGGCCAGACAGCTGAACAACCTTCTGGACACCATTTCAGACGGTTCCTTCCAGACGAAATGGTGGCAGTGGAGGCTGAAGCAGAGGTAGTTAGGGGTGATCAGACAGGCAGGCAGGAGAACGGTTAGGAGCCAGTGGTCCCAGACTGCAAGTCAGACATCCTCGGAGGGGTCCTGGATTGTGAGAGGGTGCACACTGGGCTAAGGGAAACCTCCCACCTCAGTGCACAAATTATGTGCATGGGCCTCTAGTTCTTAATAATTGCTAGTAGAATTAAAACTTGAAATGATACTTATGAAGAGATAACTGGCATTATCTATGAATGTACAACCACTCCTCTTTAACCTAGAAATTTACTTCCAGGAATTTATCCTACAGATATACTTGAGTATGTAAGATATATGGGGGCAAGATGAATTTGTTTTGTTCACTCCTATATACCCAGCACATGCGTTCTATATCACAGATATTCAATAACCACATGCCAAATGACTAAGTAGAATGATTGTGAACTGCTTGTAAACAAGGTAATTCAAGACAGCACTCTCAATAGAGAGAAAAAGAATGGAAACAACATAAATGTTTAGTTAATTATGGCACATCCATATAATGCAATTCTATTCAATGATAAAATAAAGAATGACGATGTTCTTGATGTTAAGATACAAATGATTTCAATATACTTCCATTTTTTTTTTTTAATTTAGCAATATATATGCATTTGCTTAGAATTCCTCTGGAAAGATACAAGAGATTGATAACATTGTCTCGTCTCAAATGAGGAAAATTGGGTGCCTGAGCAAGGGTAAGAAATTTCACGGTAGATCCTTTTTTTGAAATAATAAATTTAATAGATTGTTAAAGTCTATCAAATTTAATAAACCAAGCATTAACTAAAGCATGGCATGTGCCGAAACCGGTTTGGTTCAGTGGATAGAGCGTCGGCCTACAGACTCAAGAGTCCCAGGTTTGATTCCGGCAAGGACATGCACCTTGGTTGCAGGCACATCCCCAATAGGAGGTGTGCAGGAAGCAGCTGATCGATGTTCCTATCTCATCGATGTTTCTAACTCTCTATACCTCTCCCTCCCTTCCTCTCTGTAAAAAATCAATAAAATATATTTAAAAAAATAAAAATTTTAAATAAATGTGTTTCTCCCCACAGAGTAAAAATATAGGATTAAAGACCCTAATCAACTTGCCATATGATAACTTAAGTTATAGGTATGCAGATGAGACTGTTCAAAGATGGCATACTACAGAAAGAAAGAAATCAAAAGATAGAACTCTAAAATATTGGTATTTAAAACATGGACAGGCATGGACATAGACAATAGGGTGCTGAAGGTGTGAGGCAGGAAGCTGGAGGTGGGCTGGAGGGGATCAAGAGAGGAAAAAAGGGGACATATGGAATACTTACAACAGTAAAGAATTATATATCTACTAGGGGCCCATTGCATGAAGATCCGTGTAACAGGCCTTCCTTCCCCTGGCTGCCGCACCGGCTTTCCTCCGGCAGCGAAACCCAGGCCTCTGCTCTGGCGGCCGCCTTCAAGTCTTCGCTCCTGCCGAGCCTTCAGGCTTCACTCTGGCCAGAGCACCACTCCCGTAGCTTCCTCCACCCCTGTCCTCCCCCTCACAGCAGGTGTCCTGCCCCTCCCAGCTGCTCCACGCCTGCATGCTTGCTGCCCGGAGGCCCGGAGCAGATTGGGGGACGGGGCATCCATCTTTGTTGTGCTAATTTGCATACTCGCTCCTGATTGGCTGGTGGGTGTCATGAAGTGATGGTCAATTTGCATATTTCTCTTTTATTAGTGTAGATAATAATAAAAGTATAATATGCTAATTAGACCAGATAGTGGAACAACTTTCTGGATGAAGCTGCTGTGGCAGGAGCCTATGGCAGAGGAAGTTAGGGGAGATCAGGCAGGCAAGTGAGCAGTTAGGGGTGTGAGGCAGGCAGGTGATTGGTTAGGGGCAATGAGGCAGGCAGGCAGGCGAGCAGTTAAGAGCCAATGGTCCCAGATTGCAAGAGGGTGTAGGCTAGGCTGAGTGACACCACCCCTAACCCCCATGCACAAATTTCATGCACCAGACCTCTAGTATAATAATAATAATAATAATAATAGTAATAATAAATAAAATATGGATGTGGAAGATGAGTTTGCACTTCATGCTATAAACAAGAGATAGACATTTAGATTTTTTCTCTTGGTAAATTAAGTTTTTCTTTTAATGAAGTCCAATATATCCATTTTTTTCTTTCATACTTATTTTTTTGACTTCTCTTGGAAGTCTTTGCCTATGCCACTGTCAGGAATACATTCACCTCCAATATTTTTCTTTATTTTAGCTAGAAATGCATTAGTTCTATGTAAGTACTACATTCCTCTGATCATGTCCATTTCTAACTTTGAAATGAAAAGGACTGATAACTTGGCTTATCTGTTTATAAGTTTTAGAATTAAACACCTATTCAGTATATGGGCCTTAAATTATTAAAAATGAACAAAACTTAAAGTATTTGTTGTGTAATAAGTCCAACAAGTTAACCCAACATTACAACAGTGAGCTTCCAACTCCTAGCTTATCAATTCATTTATGTCATTAGTGTACTCTTTCTGTTTGTTTGGAAACCTTTAGTAAAAGAATATTTTACTCTTTAAAAAAAGTCAGACTACAAAAGATGTTCCAGCCGAAACTGGTTTGGCTCAGTGGATAGAGCATCAGCCTGCGGACTGAGAGGTCCCGGGTTCGATTCCGGTCAAGGGCATGTACCTTGGTTGCGGGCACATCCCCAGTAGGGGGTGTGCAAGAGGCAGCTGATCGATGAGTCCCTCTCATCAATGTTTCTAACTCTCTATCCCTCTCTCTTCCTCTCTGTTAAAAATCAATAAAATATATTTAAAAAAAAAAAAAAAAGATGTTCCAGATGCAGTGTCTCAGATAGATAATTTGTTGAATCAATAGATGGCTAATAAATTGATACCCGATATCTCTTTGACATATCAAATAATGCTAAGGTTCTTACAAAACTGAAATCTTTTCTAATTCATATGCGTATATAAGTATTGGTATACCTGTATTTCTAGACGTTCCTTTTTATCTGGAAAAGTTCTTGCAACTGTAGTATACTTTTCAAAAACTTTGCGTTTATTTTGTAGCTTCCTCATTTCCTCCTTTTTAAACTCTTTTATTTGAGCCAATTCATTTGCTTTCTGTTGTTCAAAGTCTGTGATTTCTTTCCTAAAACGATAAGCCCATGTTATTTAAGGAGATTATCTAAAGGGAACAGCCATCTCAGTAAACATGATAATCCACATGTGGCCAAAATGAAACACCAGGAACAGCCTGGGAATGAGGAGCTGGAATCTTGGTGAATCCATTTTCAATCCATAGCACACTCCCGACAAGCACCTACTGGGCACCTACTATCAATCAAGTACACTGGAGGAATCACAGTGGAATAACTAAACATCCTTACTCCTGTGAAGCCTCTTATCTATACGTAGGGGCCCAGTGCACGAATCCGTGCATGGGTGGGATCCCTCTGGGTGGCCTCTAGGGATCGGGCCGAAACCCTCAGTCCAACGTCGCCTGCAGCTCCTACCTGCCACCCCCACTCATCCTGGCCCCACTGTGCCTGCCAAGGGCTTGCACCCAATCATTCCATGAGCTCTGCATCTGGCGCCTTCCCAAAAGGAGTGGCCTGCGGGATCAGGCTGAAACCCACTCTCTGACATCCCCCGAAAAGTCCTGGATTGCTAGAAGGTGCAGGCCAGGCTGAGGGACCCCACCAGTGCACCATCAGGCTAGGGAGGGGCTGCAGAAGGGCTCGAGGGTGTGTCTGGCCCATCTTGCTCAGTCTCAATCAGCCGACACCAACAGCAAGCTAACCTACCAGTTGCAGCATCTGCCTTCTGGTGGTCAGTGCACGTCATAGTGATTGGTCGACTGGTCAACTGTCTGCCCCCTTGTGGTCAGTGCACATCATAGCGACTGGTCAACCAATTGACTGTCCCCCCACTGCCGCCCCCCGTGATCAGTATATATCATACCGAGCAATTGAGCAGTCTTTTAGCATATTATTAGCATATTATGCTTTAATTAGCTGTTTGATTGTTCTCCTGTTAGGTCTATTTGCATATTACCCTTTTATTACATAGGCCCAGCACACAAAATTCGTGCACGGGGGTAGGAGAGTGTGTCCCTCAGCCTGGTCTTGGCCTACAAAGATGCCAGCATCCCTCACCTGGCCTCTGGCCAGAGGTTCCTCCCCTCCTTCCACACAGCCTCTGGGAAGATGCTTGTCCTGGGGCCTCCTCAGGGCCCTGGCCCATGATGCCCTGCAGCTCAGGTACTCGGGTGCTTGGTCTTTCAGGTCCGGCTTCCTTGCCTCAGGAGTCGCCCCCTTGGACCATACTATTTGCGAGTGTGTGTGTGTGTTGGGGGGCGGGGGGGAGAGGGGACAGCCTCGGCAGCAGTGATTTGATGTTTACAGCATGCCTGCAAGACACCCTCCCCCACCCTGCCCGCCTGCGGCACCACGCTGGTCCTGTCTGGACTGTTGGCAGGGGGCTTCCAGTCTGTGACTAGGGCTGCTGGGCTGTGACTGGGGGCTCCAGGCGGAGGACCCTGGCACCCATAGGGCTCTGTCAGCATTGCAACCCTACAGTTCCTTCCCGCCTGCCTAATGGCCGCCCGAGTATGGACGCTGGACACTGGCTCACCGCCCCACAGGCCTCCTCCTTCCCTCAGCACAGCAGGCCAGGGCGTGGACTCTAGACATGCGAACTCCGGGCTTGAGACCCCCCAGACATCTTCCTTCCCAGCACAGCAGGCTGGGGCACGAACTCTGTGCTCATGGCTCCAGAGGTCCCTTCCATCCTGCCACACAGCCATGGCGCAGACGCTGGGCTCCCTCCCACCACAAGGCAGGCCGGACTCTGGGCTCGCAACCCCACAAGCCTCTTAGTTCCCGCAGCACGGCAAGCCGGGCACCGACTCTGGGTTCGCGAACTCTGGGCTCGCGACCCCACAGACCTTTTCCTTCCTGCAGCATGGCAGGTCGGGGTGAGGTCCCTTCCCTCCCGCAGCACAGCCTCTGGCCAGAGGCCCCTGCCCTCCCTCCAAGGCCAAGGAGCAGATACTGGGCTCCTGTTGCCTGGGCGATGCCTCCAGCGTCTGCTATGGGCACAGCCATTTTGTCATCGAGTGATGGCTAATTTACATATTACTCTTTTATTATATAGGGTAATAAAAGCACAATATGCTAATTAGACCGGACAGTCAAACAACCTTCTGGATGACCTTCAAGACAAAACCGGGGCTGCAAGGGACAAAGCAAGCCACCACGGTGGTGAGGGCCAAGCCCCTTGCACGTATTTCGTGCATCAGGCCTAGTATCTTATAGGAGAGACAGAAAATAGAATAAATAAGTAAAATATATGGGACACTAGAGGCCTGGAACATGAAATTCGTGCACAGGTACAGTCCCTAGGACTGGCCTACAGTCAGGGCCATCTTCCCCAATTGCTGGCATCTGGCCCCGCTCCCCACCACTACCCACCCTCAGTTCCCCCTTCACCATTGGGCGATTGCAGCCTGCCGGCCAGGGGAAGGGACCAAGAGGTTAGCCAGCAGACCTCAATCGCTCGATTGAGCATCTATTCCCTGGTGGTCAGTGTGCATCATAGCCAATGGTTGTTCTGCCATTTGGTTGATTTGCATATTACCTTTTTGTTATATAGGATTAATAGTGGAAAGAAAAAAATTAAGCAAGAAATGAAAAATATCAGGATAGAAAATTAAAATTATAGATGGGGTCATTTTGCTGAAATGATATTTGAAGTAAAACCTAAAGAAAGTGAGAATACCCATGAAGTTATTTGGACAAAACAATTCAAGCAGAGGGAACACCACATGCAAAAACCCTAAGGTAGGCATATGCCTGATGTGTTCAAAGAAAAGCAAAGCAGCCAATGTGGCTAAACAAGGAGCAGGAGACAGGGGGGAAAAGGGAGGACCAGATTAACTAGGTTCTTACAGACCATTTGTGAGGACTTTGGTATTTAGCTGAAAAGAATATTGATTTAGCTGAGGGACTGTCACAGCCCAGTTTCATTGTTCATGCTGTGTTAAGAGCATAGGAAGAGTGATAGCAAGAGAATAGAATAGGAGGTCCCTGGTTCACATCCCTCCATATGAACAACAATCCAATAGCCATTCATGAACATAAGTGCTTTTGTAGAAGCTCTAGGATTCAGGTAGGAGGTTGGGAAAACTTGGTGAAAACTTAAGATCAAGGACAGCCACTGAGAGAAGGCAAGCCCATACCCTAGGGGCAGGCGTGCTAAACATGGTCCTGGCTGCAGAATGCAAACAGCTTAGGTCCCTTATGGACTCAGCCCCAGCTCCATCCGCCAAAGGACTTGTGAAGAGCAACACCCATCTGTGCCCCTGATAACTGGCCCACCCACCTCAGTCCCAACTATAGATCCTAAAACAACCCTGTTACCTGGCCGCAGACTGCTATACTGTAGTTGCACACAGCCCTGCTGATTCAGTGGACCCAGAAGTAGCCCCATGACCTAGCTCCAGCCCCAACTGACTATGGATCCAAAAGCCATCCTGTCCAACCAGGGATCTAGCATGAACCATATCCACCTACACCCCTGGTAACAGACCTGACAACAATAGACCCCACAAGTGACCCAGAAGCAGTCACATGATTTGGCTCCACTCAACTGTGATTCTGGAAGCAGACTCATCAGTCCAGAGATCTAGCAGGAGAAGGTAAAGACCTGCCAAAACCAAGTACTCAAAACAAGAAGAGATATTTGCTCTTTCAAATGTAAAGACATCAAGAAAAGGTTACATGGATCATGAAGAATGAGGTCAACATGACATCACCAAAAGAAACTAATAAGGCTCAAGAAATTGATCCGAAAGAAATTGAGATCTACAAATTGCCTAACAAATAACTCAAAATAACTGTTTTAAGGAAACTCAGCAAGCTACATTAGAACACAGATAAATAACCCAACAGAATCAGGAAAACAACACATGAAACAAAACAAGAAGTTCACTGAGGAGAAATTATAAAAAAGTAACAAACAGAAATTGTCAAGCTAAGAATACAATGGATGATGGGGAAAAAAAAAATAATAGAAACTCAACTGTAGACTCAATCAAGTAGAAGAAAGAATCTCTGAACTGGAAGACAGATATTTGAAAGTTATAGTCAGGGGAGAAAGGAAAATATAACCAAGGACATAAAGAAGAGGTCAAATCAAGACTGGTAGGAAGTGTAAAGAGGAACAGCTGGGTGCCTACAGGCAGCAGCTGAAGTTCTGGAGAGAAATCTCACGTGGCGGGGAGGGGTGATGGTTCCCCCGGAGAAGTCTGGGATTTAAACCCCAAAGTGGGCTCCCCAGTCCAGAGTAACTGAACCAGGAAAGATGCCCACATAACATATTACTGTGAAAACACTCCAGGTCCTATATGGGAGGAAGAGAGGGCAAAAAAAATGCAGGCATCCTCTTAAAGGGCCAACACAATAAATTTCATTTGCAGCCACTCAACTTGGGCTCCAGCAGAGGATGGGCAGAGTGAACTAAAGCTGCGTGAGGATGGTCTGGGATTGGTGGCTCTGGGAGAACAGCCACCAGATCCCTGTGCTGAATTATTTCCCCATTCTGCAAACCTGCTTTCACAGACATAGGAGCAGGGAGCAATTGTCCCACCCATCAGGAACCCTCTGACCCCACCCTGTGGAGTTTACATGCTGCTAAGCTCTATAGCCTGAGATTCACTAAATGACAGACACTAATAATTAACCAGAGCAAAAGCTGTTCTCTGGGTGCTTTGAGTCTTTGCATGATCTGCTTCTGGAGCTAGAAATTAAAGGCCTTGGCCCACAGCTTGGACCTTTCCACACACATCTAGATCGCCGATAGCTCCAAAAAAGATTTTCAGGACCAGTCACAAATACCATCTGACATTGGCATACACCAGAGACCCTCCAAAGAGGCCCAAAATCAATAAACCCAGTGGACAGCTTTATTAGAGCAGGATCTAACCAGCCTCACAAGCAGTATACCAAAAGGGAGATATTGGCGGGCTCCCTGCTGAAGTTAATTCCACTGTGTGACATGCAGTGACACAGCAGCCTGCATGCTGTTAGGTTGAGCCTTACTGTCAGCCAGTCTGAGGGGCAAGCCCATGGACGCATGAGCCAAAAGCAA